GTGCTCGTGCAGGGCAGGCAGTGGGCGGGCTCCACATGGCCCCCAGGGGTGGGATCTCCACTGGGCTGGAGCATGATTGTTCCATTGCCTCTGGACCACAGGGAAGTTCTCACCCGAGTTTCACCCTGCACGAGGCACCGCCCAAGCCCACCAGCATCCTGGCATGGTCGTGTGACTTCAGTCTCCTATTTAACTGCACAGCCCCGGGTAAGACGATCTGTCAGCCGGAGGGGAACAGGGGGTGCCCGGCTCCACGCAGAGCCCCCTCCCAGGACTCTGCCCTTCTTGGACTGGAATATTACATTCCCTTTGTGGTCAGGGCAGTCCCAGGCTAGCTCATTACAAAAGGGCAGAGGCTGTGCCACTTGAGTGCACTAACACCCTGGCCCTCCGTACAGATCCTGGGAGTGCAAATGAAGAAACATTAAGGCAATTAAATGAAACTGTTGAGTCTCTAAACACAACGGAGGGATTCTACTTAACGGCACAGTGGTAATAAAAAGCATCAGCACTCTGCCATTACAGCGGACGTTTCTCCGGCATGCAGAGGATTCTCCCGGGGCTCGGAGAGACTTAAGCTGCTTCAAGTATTGCTCAAGGGATTAAAATCATAAGGATTTGATTACCTCCTCACCGAAAGGGTCTAATTTGTTCAGGCTGAGTGTCATTCTGTCATTTGTCATAAATTAAAGGAGCAACAAAATGATTGTTTCTACCTTTAGCGTTCGCACAAAGGGAGACACTTGGTGGAGAGTGGCAGCCGCTGCCTCCTGGGCCTGGGGGGCTGGCTCTTCTCAGAAGACGACGTGGACACTCTTCATTTGGCTTTGCATTTTACATACTGGGTGCAGGGTCAGAGAACAGAGGCCCCGTTGAATGGAACCTATTTTGCTGTGTTCCAGGCTCCAGGTCAGATTTTCAGAGGGGAAGAGGAGCGTCCTCTGAAGCGCCCTGTGCTCTGGGGATCCTTACTGCTGTGAGCCAGGCTGCAGTGGCCCCGTGCAGTGAGGACTGCCTTCCATCAGCATTTACTTTTCTGTGATTCCTATTACGTTAGGAAAGCTGTGCCTGCTGTCTGTAGTTCCTGTCTGTCATCCTGGCTACGTGGGAAGTTGGATTAGGACAACTGTGGTTCAAAGCCAGCCTGGGCAGAAAATTTCACGAGACCCCCCTTTCTCAACCAATGGCTGGGTGCTGTAGTGTGCACATGTCATCTTGGCTACTTAGGAGGCTGAGATCAGGAGAATCAGGGTTCTAGGCCGGTCTGGAGAATAAAGCCCATGAGATTACATTTTAATGGAAGAAGCTAGGGCCTGTAGCATGCTCATTATCTAAGTTATGACAGGAAGAGAGATGAATCATTGTCCAGGGGCATGTCTGGGAAGGAAGCTAGAGCAATAGAGTACCTGCCTAACAAGTCTGGAGGCCCTGAGTTCAAACACTAGTATTGTCAAAAAAAAAAAAAAATCTACATGTAAGGAAATCACAATTTGAAAACCTTCAAACGAGGGATGGGAAGGTAGCTTAGTGGTAGAGTTTGCCTAGCATGCATGAAGCCCTGGGTTCGATTCCTCAGTACCACATACACAGAAAAAGCTGGAAGTGGCACTGTGGCTCAAGGTAGAGTGCTAGCCTTGAGCAAAAGAAGCTCAGGGATGGTGCCCAGGCCCTGAGTTCAAGACCCAGGACTAGTGTAAAAAAAAAAAAAAAAAAAAACCAAACCAAAACAAAAAACTTTCACACCAATTCAGTTCTCTTATACTGCAATTGCTCTGAAAATACCTAGCTGTGGAAATATATTATTCAAGGACAACAAAAAATTGATAAAAGTGAGGGACATTAGCAAGATCAAGAGCCTGGCTCTGAACTCTTGGCCTGCTTGGGTATGGCAGCCAAGAGAGGATGTTCTTTGCACACTCGGAACTGCGGCTGGCTGGGCGCTGGTGGCTCACGCCTATCATCCTAGCTACTCAGGAGGCTGAGATCTGAGGATTGTGGTTCAAAGCCAGCCCGGGCAGGAAAGTCCGTGAAACTCTTATCTCCAATAAACCACTAGAAAACTGGAAGTGGCGCTGTAGCTCAAGTGGTAGAGCGCTCGCCTTGAGCTGAAGAGCTGAGGGACAGCACCCAGGCCCAGAGTTCAAGCCCCAAGACCAAAAAAAAAAAAAAGAACTGTGGCTGCTGTGCGGCTTCTTACATGCTCAAATTGGGTTTGGTTCCACAATCCTGGGAACAGGAAAATCCCAGAGACTCATCACTTTCCAGAGACTGGAAAAATTTGGGAAATTTCAATCCTAATTTCTATCATACTAATATATTGCGATAAAATGCTTCCTTCTAATGAACGGCAGCAGCAAATAACAACTTCTAGACCTGATTAGAGTTACTGTATCTTTTCTGACTGTAACTATCGACATTATTAAAGACAAAAATATCACATATTTGTTTGGCCAGGAAAATCCATAGTGAGGGAAAGAGTCAGTGACTGAGGAGAAAACGCTGTATCGACTCAGATTCCTCTCCTCATTCAGCCTTGTGATCACTGACAGTAAAGAGGCAATCAAGTAGGGAAAAAAGAAGAGTCACTGCATGATATTGGTGATGACATCCAGAGAAGATGAAATAAAAACTAAGTTAGACAGGTGGGTGCAGGTGGCTCACGCCTGTAATCCTAGCTACGTAAGAGGCTGAGCTTAGGATTGTGGTTCAAAGCCAGCCCAGACAGTAAAGTCTGTAAAACTCTTATCTCAAAGGAAAGCTACTAAAAAGCTGAACATAGAACCATGGCTTGAAGTAAAATGCTAGCCTTGAGAAAAGAAGCTCAGGGACAGTGCCCAAACTTGAGCAAATGAAGCTCAGGGAAAGTGCCCAGACCCTAAGTTCAAGCCCCAGGACCAGCATAAACAACAACAACAACAACAACAACTAAGTACACAATTGTTCAGTATTTTGGAAAGCCTCCAACCTTACCCAAGCTTTCATTTAAAATGCAAAGTATACATATGAAGTTTTTCAAGCAATATATATTCATAAACGTTGGCATCCTACTTTAGAGTAAAGATCACATATAACTAACTTAAATACAATTTATATAGCGAACAAAGTGCTAATATTTACTATGCCTCCCACTTTATAATCCATGGATAGTAAGACATTTAATCTATTGGGTATATGAATCTCAATCTTTTCTCTATGTCTTAAAAAAGTCATCAAATTAGCTGAGAACTATAACCTTAAGATAAATGTTACTAATTTGAAAGAAACAATTTCCTCAGCTTAGTTTTTTATCCAATTACTTATAAGAGAATACATAACTTGCTCCTCCCCCCAAATCCATTGTTATTTCAAGTCATCTTTGGGTTCTTCTATAAAAAGCAGCTCTGTTTTATCTCCTCCATGCAAGAGCACAATGCAAGGGCATATGGGGTTGGATACAAAGAGAGAAACTAGATCCAGTGTGCTTCAAAGACATCACACATCATCCAAGAATGTGAACAACTAAAGTATCTGAGCAAGCTCAGCACCAGGCCAAATCAGCTAAGCGCATAACAGATTCAAGTGCATAAAGGCTGCAGGTTAAAGTTACAAAAGCCAAAGAAACTGAAGAACAGAAAAACTTGAAGGAGGAGGTGAAATTGAAATGGAGTTAGAAAGAGGTCTAGAAAACTGAGAGGCAGAAATGAGAGGATGGGGGCGGGGGGGGGGGGGGTAAAGGCCTGCATGTATGTATAAGGAAGGGAAAGATTCCTGGAAAAAATACAACTGGACCCAGACTGAGGCAGAGCAGGGAGGGGGCCTGGAGCACAGTGGGAAACAGAGGTTGTCCAGGTACTTGGAATGAGAAGGTGGCATTCAATTAAACAACACCCGGATTCCTGAGCGTCAATGTACCTGGTGAGCACTGCCATTTTAAAGCATGGAATAACCCTATTTTTTATTTCCTTATAGTCATATATTAAGCACAGCCTGCATACACACACACACACACACACACACACACACACACACACACTCACTCACTCACTCACTCACTCACTCACTCACTCACTCACTCACTCACACATGGGCTTAAATCCTGTTGGTAGGGTTGAACCAAACAGGAGAAAGGAGACCAGTAAATAAACATATTCCAGAGAAGGTGCGGGAAGGGGCGAGGAAGCATACAAACCAAGATACTGTCATTTGTGCTCTACTGAGATTGTAGTTGAACAGTTCATTTTAACCAAATCTGCATTCCCTAAATAACACCTTCCTGAAAGTGAGACTACAGTATTTGGGGATAAAATATGGTCAGGTTGTAGCCTTCATTTGGCAGGTTCTCCTTTCCACATTACCTCCGAATGCGACCAATGTTTGACACACACTGGGGTTATGCACTGCAGTTCAAAGCGAGCCTCGTGACCTATGTGTCCACCACATGTGAACCCAATGCCAGGTGCTCAGATCAGAAAAATCAAGTGTTCGAGGCCAGCCTGGGTATAAAAATTTGAGACTCCATTTCAACAGATGGCCGGTATAGTGGTGCATGCTGGGTGGCACTGCCGCTGGGAAGCACGCTGGCTGCCTGAACGGCACAGCTGTCATCTCCAGCAATTGGAGGAACACAGGAGAACAGGAGAACCTCAGTCCAGGCCAGCCACAGCAAAAAGCAAAACCCCACTGCACTGAATTGTGGGACAGAAGAAACAATATCATTCATTAAAAAGATGCAAGAGCACGCTTGGCACCAGTGGCTCACGCTTGTTAAAACCAGAATGGGTGGGAAAGTCTGCAAGACTCTTATCTCCAATTAAATACCAAAAAATAAGCTGGAAGTAAAGCTGCATGCAGCTCAAGTGGTAGAACACCAGCCTTGAGCCTGAAAGCTCAGGAACAGTGCCCAGGCTCTGATTTTAAGTTCCAGGACAGGCACCGAAAAAAGAAAAAAAAAAAAAGAGTATTTCCAGTCAGCGATGTTATTATAAATACACAAGAGATGTAGACAGAAGCTAATTACTTACCTCATGATCATGAGCGGCCTGTCGGGCTGCATCTAAAAGGAGGAAAGAACAAAGAAAACATTAAGTAAGAAAAAAGAAAGTAATATCAAAACCCAAGTGTATAATGGTGCCAAACTAAACCTGCTGTGCATGTAGACCTCACTATGTGCAGTGTTTTTTTTCAGTCACAGCTTCATTAATGGGTGGTTTGTGCACCCCCCCTCCCCCGAGGAGTATATAATGAGTCCCTGGAGGACTGGACCCCAGAAACGGGGTGGGAGGGCAGGCAGGAAATACACACCAAAGGCCGTTCACACAACCTTAGGATCGAGCAGGCTAGCTGCCCAATGTGGAAAAGATGCCACGGCTAAGGGATGGAAGCTGGCGTGGGTGGTGCTCCTTGGGCAGTGTCTGCTGTGGAAGGGGAACTTGAAGGAACACTTGTGTCGGTGTAATGAACCATTTTAATGGAATAAAACACCCACACATCTGGGGATTTTTGTCTGTCTTGCTCACCGTTGCATCCTGGGTGCCTAGAGGAGAGCCTGACATTTCATGGAAGGTTTCTGACCACACGAATGACTGAATGGAGATCACTTGGTGGGGGTGGATGGCCAATGGAAGGCTCGGCAGGAGAGCAAGGCAGTCATACTTTAGCTCATGTTAGAGGTGGAGAAATGCTTCAGCAAGAATTAGGGAGGAGGGGAGCAGTCTTGGTGTCAAGTCCCGTTATTTATTATTTATTTTTGTCGGTGGTGGGGCTTGAACTCTGGGCCTGGGCACTGTCCCTGAGCTCTTCAGCTCAAGGTTAGCGCTCTACCACTTGAGCCACAGCGCCACTTCTGGCTTTTTCTGCTTATGTGGTGCTGAGGAATCGAACCCAGGGTCTCATGCATGTGCTGCAAGCACTCTACCACTGAGCCACCTTCCCAGCCCCCATCAAGCCAGGTTTTTGATCCTGGAAGTGGAAAATGAATCAGAAATTCTAAATGGGAGCAATGTCTTTACTAAGACCCAAGATGATGCTTGTAATTAAGTATGCCATGGTGGCACGCTTTCTACTTGTCACTTCAACAGCTGGCTTTGCGGCGCCCGCCACACAGGCCACACTGTGGTGGCTTTGGGCTCTGATACCTTGCCTGTGAGATTTGCCTTTCTGACGGTCCTGGGTTTTTCTACTGAAGACCTTGTAGGCTTCAGTCTTCTGGTACTGTTCCAGCTCCTTCATGTACCGCTCCTTGTCTCTGTCTGCTTCGTCAAGGTAGCGCTAGGACACAAACATGGGATTATTTTCAAGATGCTAAGATCTTACTTAGGTAAGATACCTGTTGCCTATTTGAATTAGAACATGAGGAAAAATGCTTTAGGAGAGAACCAGAAAAAAAAAAAAATCAACCATCAGATGGCTAGAATAAGATCTCTCAATTATAGAATGAGTGATTCTCACTTTCTAGATTATTGATTGCCTTTCTGAGTTCAGTAGCGACCAGCTCTATTGAGATCATGCTCATAAAAAATTCACAGAGACGATTATAATTGTTCCTCTAAGTGTGTCGGCAGACCTGCACATGGCCACTGGTCCCCGGGAGATGTGCACACCGCGTTGGCACATTGAGCCTTCCCAGGAGAAGGAAAGGAATAGTACTTTGTTTTTGATCCACACTGCATTTTGCGGGGATGATGTCATACATCAGTGGGCCTTTTAGGAGTCAGGAGAGTTGGAGTGCTAATGCTGGGGAGACACAAAGAGCATAAAAAGATGACCTCATACGCAGGCTTCCAAATGGACGGCTCGAGAGAGCCTGTGTCTACATGCTCTGCTTGTGCCGTGAATTATTTAAACCAGGTCCACTGATCTGCCAGAATGATTTTATTTTGGGCTTTTTCCATTTCATTCATCAAATTAGGTATAAAAAAAATACAGAGATTGCTTTTTGGTTCTGGGGCTTGAACTCAGGGCCTGGATCCCTGAGCTTCTTTTGCTCAAGACTAGTGTTCTACCACTTGAGCCACAGCACCACTTCTGGCTTTTTCTGTGTAGGTGGTACTGAGGAACCGAACCCAGGGTTTCATGCATGCTAGGCAAGCTCTCTACCACTGAGCCACGTTAGCAGCCCATAGACTACTTATTAATTAAAAGGGAGAATTAAAAAAATTTAGCAGGTAAATAACATTAACGTTACTAATGAGGAATAAAAGGATACCAATACTCAGAGAAAGATACCACCTACACAGTATTTCTGACAACGAATGCATAACCCACCCTAACCACAAATACCAAATGAGGCCTGTTCCGTGAAAAATAACAACGCAAGCAACAACAAAAAGCAGGGGGCCAGAGTGGGGTGAGACTGTACTCTTAACCATCAAAGTAATAAAAGACAGAGCAATGCTACCGAAGTATCTCAGCCCCCCCAAAATGAAAGAGATTTGACTAAGATAAAGGCTGACTTTAGACCTGAATCTGTGCTGTAGGGCAGGCTCCTATAAAGGAGTGTTTTCTCACTATGTGGGTGATAGATTACAACACTGTGTTAATGTGAAATTATGAGCTAGATTAACTATACTACAGTTAATAGGAGAATATCTCCACTCAAGAGATACACACTATAAGCGGCCCAGATGTATGTAATGTTATAAATTCATTCTTCAAGAACCACTGGAGTCACAAGGATAGACATGAAAATAAAGAATTGTCTCAGCAAGGCAAAATTTACTTCTGTACAGGAGAGGGCCCTCAGCCAAAAATCTAGCCAGCAAGCACACAGCAGGCAGGCTTCTCAGATAGTTTATCCCTAACACAGCAGGCCAGGCCCTTCCGCTCCAATTGGCTGAGATCAGATTCACAGTCTGCCGGTGAAGGGCTAGTTTATAAAGGTGTATTTACATAAGGTGACTTTGAAATTAGATTAACAGTACACAAGTAATCTCAAAATATACCTGCACCCTCAGCTATTTCTTGAATAATCAGGTTTGTCTTCTGAGGTGTGTCTTAATTCCATTTTGAACAAACAAACAAAAAAATCAGTCTAAAACAAAACCTTACATTTCAAAAATCCTTCCTTATCCCAAAGCAGTTCTCTTTTCCTTAACAAGAGCCAAGCCAAACAGGAACTTTAATGGAGCATGCTTTGATAGAAAAGAGATTTTCACAGTAACTAGTAATCAAATAGTTTAAAAATCATCCTGTGTGTAAGAGATGGGAAGATATCAAGGTTATCTATGTGCATATGCAAGTATGAGTGCACATTCAAATACAGAGAAATGAGACACAATGTCAGCCATATTTGAAGCTGCCAAAAAAAAAAAAAAAAAAAGGGACAGGGTACCAGTAGCTCATGCCTGTAATCCTAGCTACTCAGGAGGCTGAGCTCTGAGGACTGTGGTTCAAAGCCAGCCAGGGCAGCAAAGTCCTTGAGACTCTTTGGGCAAGCATGATCTCTGAAATGAAGAAAAGTAAGAAAGAAAATAATAGTTTTGTGAATTCCAAACAATGGTGACTGTGATCAGATAGAATGAGTTGAGTTACATCTTTTTTTTTTATGTTTGCTCTGGTTTGTTATATACCCTAGGGTACGATCTATTTTGGAGAAGGTTCTATGGGCTGCTGAAAAGAATGTGAATTGTGTGGTTACTGGGTGAAATACTCTATAGATGTCTATTAAATCCATTTGGATTACAGTGTCATTTGATTCAGAGGTTTCTTTGCTGGTCTTTTGTTTGGCCGACCTGCCCTTTGGTAACAGTGGGTGTTGAAGTGTCCTGCGATTATTGTGTTGGGGTCTAATCAGTTTTTATAAGTCCAAGAGTGGCTCAAAACAATGACGACTATGCCATGTGCTCTCTTTCTCTGCCATTCTTTCTTTCCTAATAAGCTTTCCTATCATCTTTACAAAACACCACCACTTCCACCTAAAACAAGGAAACAAAACAATGATATGAACTACTTTCTGTGAGCCGGCTAAGTACCAACTCACAGCTACCAATGGCAACTCAATCTCATCTCCTTGAAAAATCTCTGAACTCAATTCCCAAGAGAGTATTGCCCCCCTACCCCCAATCTTGCTTCAGTCTCTCTGGAATCTATTTTTGAGTGTCAGGCAGTCAAAGACATAAAAGAAATATACATCTCCCAGATGCTGGGAAAGGGGCTTAAAAAAAAACAAAAACAACCCTAAACCAATCCCACAGCGGCTATCATTCCTCTGCTTTCCTGGCACTACATCCCGTGTCCCTAATCTCCTCCAATCTCTCTAACTAATGCATTCATTTCAGTTTGGCAATAGCAATGGCTTCTGCTTTGTAGTAGTTCTGCTTTGCTTTTTGCAGTAGGTTCAATGTGCCAGAACTCTGACATTAAACATTTTAGGAAAGCAGCAAAATCTTTTCACAAAATGCTTCATGTGAATTAGAGAATTTTATCAAATGACTTTTCCCCCTTCATTTTTATTCATGACTTTTCATTTAACACAGTGGAATGAATTACCTTGATAGATTTCTTTAATTTCTTAATATTGACCCACTTTTCAAAGTAATTTTCTGTGAACTTGGAGTGTACACATTAAAATGGATTTGCTTTGACTGAGGGGGTCTGTAAGTCCCTCCTACTCACAGCCCTGCAACACCCACCATAGTTTACATCTCACTGAGCTAGAGCCAAGGCCTGGAAGGCCCTTGCTCTTCTGGTCTCCTAGCCACCATGACAAAACTGAAGCATCCACTGTTCGTCCCCTCTGCCTTTCCAAAATAAATTATTTTTTTGTGTCTGTCCTGGGGCTTGAACTCAGGGCCTGGGCACTATCCCTGAGCTTTTGTGCTTAAGGCTGGCATTCTTAACACTTGAGCTCCATTTCTGGCTTTTTGGTAGTTCATTTGAGATAAAGATTGTCTCAAGAGCCAGATGCCAGTGGCTCACACCTGTAATCCTAGATACTCAGGAGGCTGAGATCAGAGGATCGCAATTCAAAGCCAGCCTGGGCATGAAAGTCCGTGAGACTCTTATCTCCAATAAACCACTAGAAAACCGGAAGTGATGCTGTGGCTCAAGCGGAAGAACGCTCGCCTTGAGCTGAAGAGCAGGTGCAAGGACAGTGCCCAAGCCCAGAGTTCAAGCCCCACGACCAACCAAAAAGAAAAAAAGTCTCAAGGACTTTCTTGCCCAGACTGGTTTTGAACCATGATCCTTGGATCCCAGCCTCCTGAGTAACTAGGACTATAGGTGAACCACTGGAGCCTGGTAAGAAATTATTTTTGAGATATAACTAAGAGTGAGCACAGGACCCCGAGTGGAACAATACCTGCTTCTCTTCAGGAGGCAGTTTGCTCCACTCATTGCCCAACATCCTGGTGATTTCTGGAAATGGGACCTCGGGTCTTTTCGCACGAAGCTGCTCTCGACGCTCGTTCATGAAACGAACGTAGCCCGTAAGTGGGGACTTGGGTGCATTGCTGTCTCGAAGAGGTTTCTTCCTCTTTCTCCCTTTGGACCAACCTCCACGTTTACTTCTTTGCTAGAAAACAAAGCCAAGGGGAAAAAAAAGTCACACAACCCCCCCCCCCCCCCAATGGCCCAACAACAACAATAAACAGCACCAGCAAAGCAGAAGAGGCAGGTGCCATGGCTCACACCTGTAATCCTAGCTACTCAGGAGGCTGAGATCTGAGGATCATGGTTCAAAGCTGGTCTGCACAAAAAAGTCCTCACAAGACTCTTATCTCCAATTAATCACTCAAGAACTGGAAGTGGCACCGTGCCTCAAGTGGTAGAGCATTAGCTTTGGGACAGAGCCCAGGCCTTGAGTTCAAGCCCCACAACTGACCAAAAAAAAAAAAAAAAAAGCAGGGTAAGAGCTGGCTGGCCTGTAAGGCCCTCAGTGTTCAGAGTCCAGATCTGTCCAGGTGAGTGACAAGCATTCCAGTGGGGCTCACCTGCAGATCTATGGGGCATCACACTAGACATTAGAACCCTGGTAATAAAGGGCTATTCTGGTGCTAATCCTGGAAGAGGACAACAAGAGGTACCTAGATCATGCAAATTTGGCCTTCACACTTAAGGGGCTGTGGATCCTGACAGAGAAATACTTTATACACAGCACTGTGCCAGAGAGGCAGGCGTTGGCACAGTAAATGAGAATAAGATGTCACAGGCACTGGGCAAAAGAAGAGACAGGCTGTAGCACAGGGATTAAAAATAATTCATGACGGTGTTTCTCGCTGATTCTACTCAAAGACCAGTTTATTTCCCATGGCAAAAAGCACACCAGGTTTTAAATTATTATTTAGGTCTCGGAAAAATTTCAGTGAGGATAATGTATCCAATATGAAGACTAAATTCTTTGGCTGGATGATTTGGTTCCCTAAGATGTATATTTCATAAAGCCAGAGATCTTTATATATTGAATTATTAGTTAAATCAAAGATTAAATCAACTTTAAAAGTGCTAGAGAACTAAAAAAGGATCGCCATGTTACTGATGTTTCTACCATGTCCTTTTTTCTTGGCCTTTCAAGGAGCCCGAAGGTAATAATATTTTTTGCTTTATAATTTAATGAAAGTCTAATAGTTAATAATGTTCTATGGATCTACAAATTATTTCAGAGAAGATAAACAAAAAGGGATTAAAACATGGAAGAATTAATTCTAGGACTACAGTCCTCTGTATATGTACATGAAGTGGCTTGATGACTCCCCAGTTAGGAAGGGCTGTATTTGTTATTAGTTTTAAGGTACCTATAGTACATTAAAGTTACTAAGGTAACCAGACGCTGGTGACTCATGCCTGTAATCCCAGCTGCTCGGGAGGCTGAGTTCTGAGGATTGTGGTTCAAAGCCAGCCCAGGCAGGAAAGTTTGTGAGACTCTTTTTTTTTTTTTTTTTGGTTGTCCTGTCGTGGGGCCTGAACTCTGGGCCTGGGCGCTGTCCCTCAGCTCTTCAGCTCAAGGCTAGCACTCTACCACTTGAGCCACAGCGCCACTTCCAGCTTTTTTCTTTTTGCTTATGTGGTGCTGAGGAATCGAACCCAGGGCCTCAGGCATGCAAGGCAAGCACTCTACCACTGAGCCACCTTCCCAGCCCAAGTTTGTGAGACTCTTAACTCCAATAAACTACCAAAAAAGGCCAGAAATGGAACTGTGGCTCAAGTGATAGAATGCCAGCCTTGAACAAAAAGAATTCAAGGATAGAGCCTAGGTCCTGAGTTCAAAACAGACAAACAAGCAAAGATCCTAGGCAAAACAAGAACTATAAAACAGAACCCTATGTGGCTAAGATGTCCAATACTGAACACCTCCTCTTGCAGTGGCTTTTCTAGAAGCTTTGGAGCAGTGCTGGAGGGGACCTCCACTTACCTCATCTTCTTGTCTCTGCTCGCTGCCTTCTGCAGCGTTTGAAGACTCACTCGGAAGCAGCTGGCTCTGGGAGAGATCCTCTACAAATTCTGGATTGTTGCCGGATGACGTGGCTCCACTGCCATAGGGCACTTCGGGGTGCGCTAGCCTGAGCAGTGGGCAGATGGGCAAAAGTTCAGTGAGAACAGCACAGGAAACCTCTATCATTTACCACATACAAGATAAATTCCTCTGCCAGCCAAAGCACGTGCCAGAGCTTGAATGAATTCATTCCACCACAGCAGTCTGTGTAAATGTAGCGTGTTTTCACGTAGTTAATAGTGTTTGCAAAAATAGTTCCAGACTTCTCCATGCAGACTTCCTGTTTAACTATGGGGATGCAACCGAGTCTGACGTTTGTGTTTGTGTGTGTGTGCTTGTGCGTGCGAGAGTGCCAGTCTTGGGACTTGAACTCATGGCCTGGGTGCTGTCCCTGAGCTGTTCTGCTTAAGACTAGCTAGTACTTTACCACTTGAGCCACAGCTCCCCCAGAAGTAAGAGTCTCATGGGCTTTTCTGCCTGGGTTGGCTTCAAACCATGGTCCTCAGATCTCGGTCTCCTGAGTAGCCAGGATGACAGGCCTCAGCCACTGAGCTTGGCTAGAGCCTGGCTTTTTTATATGCTGCTACCTTTCACATTGTCTCCAACACGAAGGGCAAACAGTATCAATGGACAGTAAGATGAACAGCAATGAGAACTCTAGAGGAGGCTTGCCCCTATTGCCAAAGAGTTCTTAAAGGGTGTAAGAAATCGTTTTCAGCCAGGTGCTAATGTCTCAAGCCTATAATCCTAGTTACTCAGGAGGCTGCGGTCTGAGGATCATAGCTCTGGGTTCAAAGCTAGCCTAGGCAGACAAATCTGCGAGGCTCTTATCTCCAATTCACCAGCAAAACCTAGTTAAGTAGGGGCATGGCTCAAGCGGTAGAATGTCAGCCACCACTGAAAAAGCTGAGTGAGAGCAGGAGGCTCTGAGTTAAATCCTGGGGTGGGGTGGAGGCTCCTGCTCTGAGTTCAAGCTGGGGTCGGGGACCCTTACATTCATAACACAGGCTAGTTCTTCAATACAGTGTCAAGCAGTAACCAGGATCGGCTAAGAAAAACATCAAGTTCAATAAGATCCAGTCCGATTCTTTCTTTGAGGAGCTGGGGATCAAACCCAGAGCCTCATGCATCCTAGGGAGGGGGGCTCTGCCCTGTACTCCCACCTCAGCCCTGGAATGAATGCTCACAAATCAGGTGGATCCAGGTTGCACCTTCCATAGGTTTATAAGCAATGGCAGAAGGAAATGTAGAGGTTTGTCAGAGGTGCCATGGAAGCATGGTGGAAGGAGAGGATGCTGAGGGAGACTTCACCAAGGAGGTCTTCCAGGCAGGGAAAACAGGGTCTTACAGCCAGAAAGGAGACAGATCTGAGGCTAGCAACAGGCTAAGAGATAAACACAGGCAAGATGGAGAGCAGAGGGGAGAAAGCTGTGATATATTTGGCTGGAATGGAGAGAAACTTAGTGGCTAATTGAATACAGACAGTGAGGGGAAAGTAGGAATCAAAAAACTAATTCCAAAGCCAGGCACCAGTGGCTCATGCCTGTCTTCCTAGCTACTCAGGGGGCTGAGATCTGAGAATCATGGTTTTAAGCCAGCCCAAGCAGGACATTATGTCCAATTAACCACCAGAGTTGTTAGTGGAGCTGTGGCTCAATTAAGGGTGCTTGCTTTGAGCAAAAGAAGCTCAGGGACAGAGCCCAGGCCCTATGTTCAAGCCCCAGGACCTGTGCCTGTGTGTGCGTGTGTGCGCATGCACACACGCACACACACACTAACTCTGAGGCTTCAAAGTGGTGATTATGTACTCAATATTAGCCACAGATAAAACAGTGTGTGTGCGTGGGGTGGTGGTGGTTGTGGTGGTGGTGGATGAGAAGATTATCTGTTAGAAATGCCTGTGGATAATTAAGTGGAGACGCCCTAGAGACATCTGGAAACACTCTGAAAGGCAGAGGGGGAGAGAGAGATAGAAGAGAGAGACCTGAGAGACATCAGAGCCTCCAGAAAGAAAGGCAGATAAAAAAGTCAGCACAGAAAATGGCTGAGGTAGTAGGTATTACTTTAGGAACAAGTGTTAGAAAATCCAGGACAGGAGACTGAAGAGGGGTAAAGTCGCAGGGGACAGGGCAGGGTTAAGAAGGTGGCACCAACCAGGTAACTGCCAATCATGTCATATACAATGGGCCAAAAAGAGGCCAGGGAAGTTGAAGACCAGAGGCCACTGGCAACTGTAGGGAGTATGGCTAGAATGGAATGATGGAAAATTCCAGATTACAGTGGCCAGAAAAAAAAAAAAAGGAACAAAAGAAGATGCAGACTGTACTAAAACGGCAAGAAATTCTATTTTTCGGGCCCTTTCTAGGAAACACCCTAAATGATTTTAAGCAGGAGGTTTCTAAATCTTCAGAGCCCTTAAAAAAATAAAGAGGGGTGGCCAGGTGTTGGTGGCTCACACCTGTAATCCTAGCTACTCCGGAGGCTGAGATTTGAGGATCGTGGTTCAAAGCCAGCCCAGGCAGGAAAGTCTATGAGATTCTTATCTCCAATTAACCTCCAGAAGACAGGAAGTGGTGCTGTGGCTCAAGTGGTAAAGTGCTAGCCTTGAGCTGAAGAGCTGAGGGACAGCGCCCAGGCTCAGAGTTCAAGCCCCACAACCAACCAAAAAAAGAGGGTCTGGAGACATGGCTCAATTGGTAGAGCACCAGCTAATGAGGGAAAGTGTCAGGTACCAAGTTTGAGTGCCAGTCTTGGACCTTTAAAAAAAAAAAAGTATGTACAAGAAGCGGTGAACTGATGCCAACCACTGGCTTAGAAATGAAGCATCCCAGAGCTCCCATACAATTTGGGGGACAACGACTTCCAAAAGGAATCAGCCACATTGGACGTCTTGGAAACTCATTTTTTTCCTCTATCGTTTTCACTCTGTTGTGCTGTGCCATCCATTTTTGTTTGCTTTGGGGGCTTTGAACTCAGAACCTGAATGGTGTCCCCATGCTTTTGAGCAAAAGGCTCTACAACTTAAGCCAAGGTTCCACTTCCAGCTTTTTTGGTGTTTGGAGAGTCTCACAAATTTTCCTGCTCAGGCTGGCTTTGAACTACAATCCTTACATCTCAGCCTCTGAGTTGAGTAGCTGGGATTAAGGCATAAGCGACTAGCATCTATACCACTGGGCCATTCATTTTTAAGTTGTCAACTTTTGTACATTCTTCTTCCAGTCAAATAAGAGAACTAGGACTGGGAAACAGTATCAGTCCTCTGAGTCCTGACAGAAGCCGGTAGGGAGGGTGTGGGCATGGGCATCTGGTGGCTTTGTTACCACATCCTAGTTCAAGCCACCAACTCTTCCATCGACTCCGTCTTACTGGGCATTTTCTGTAATTCCCCTCTCCCCCTAATCACGTCACCACTTTGACCTCCAGGACTGCTTTCAGCAGCACAGGGTGATGTTATTATTCTTATTTTAAAGCCAAATGGAACAAAACTTGGCCTCCATCCCACTTTCAGTTAAATTCCTCATTTTCCCCCCTTTTACTCTCCAGTTTCAAGAAAGAACTGTTTAGGCTGACTGATTTCAATCAGTCTCCTCTCATTATCTCTTAAACCAATTCCAAAGGAAATGCAAACTTGGAACTCTGTGTAGGCCACGGACGACCTTCATGCTAGATCCAATGTCATCTCTCAGCCGCTACCTCATCCAATCTAGCCGGATCACCTGGCTTGCTCTCTTCCTCTCTGACAGACTAATTTCTACTAAAGTTCCAGGCCCCCACATGCTCTGGTCTTTCTGTTTCCTCTTCAGCTACTTACTTTTGTCTTGACTGACTCTTCTTCTGCCGGATTTCTGAATGCTAGAATTTCCTAGAGCTCAGGTGTTTTGTTTTTTTTTGGTTGGTTGTGGGGTTTGAACTCTAGGGCTGGGTGCTGTCTGTGGGGTTTGAACTCTAGGACTGGGTGCTGTCTCTGAGCTCTTCAGCTCAAGGCAAGTGCTCTACCACTTGAGCCACAGAGCCATTTCCAGTTTTCTGGTGGTTAACCACAGATCTCACAGACTTTCTTGCCCAGGCTGGGCTTTGAACTGTGATCCTCAGATCTCAGCCTCCTGAATAGCTAGGATTACAGGCATGAACCATTGGCTCAGGTGTTTCTTATAGCTTTACACATTAGCTATGTGCTAGTGATCCCATGTTTCTTGTTCCTAAACTACCCCACTCCAGATCCTTGTATATCAAGCTGTGTGTTTCACATCCCTACTTAGATTTTACTAAGTACCTAAATTTTAAATTTCCCAAACCAAGCCAGGTACCAGTGGGTCACGCCTGTCATCCTAGCTACTCAGGAGGCTGAGATCTGAAAAGTGAGGTTCAAAGCCAGCTGGGGCAGGAAAGTCTGTGAGACTCTTATGTCCAATTAACCACCAGAAAATTGGAAGAGGCGCTGTGGCTCAAGTGGTAGAGCACTTGCCTTGAGCCGAAGAGCCGAGGGACAGTGTCCAGGCCCAGAGTTCAAGCCCCACGACCGACAAAAAAAAACAAAACAAACTCAAACCAAGTCTCTCCCCTTCCTTCCTCCCCAGCTGCTCAGCTCCTCCCTTCCAAGCTGGCTCGACTCTCCCGCTGCCTGGGCAGAAGCTGTGGAAGCTGTCTTTGCTCTTTTTGTCTCCTCACTTCTCACACTGCTCATCTGGTCTTCCAGGCAGATCACACAATATCTGGAATTCTGCACTGGAGGCGTATGTCCTTACTCTCCCACTAAAGCTATTCTCGCTGATGTCAGGAAAGATGTTTTTAGGGTGATCACCACTCATCTGAACTACTTTATGAACTTCCTGACTGGTCTCCTTGCTCCAGACCCTGCTGCCTTTGCTTTATTGGAAACATGATATTCACACGAGTCCTAGACCACCGCAGTATATTGATCTGAAGAAATGTTAGTCAGGGCATCCTAGAGATACCAGCACACCCATATCCATTGTAGCACTATTCATGACAGCAATGTTATGGCAACAGCCCAGATGCCCTACAACTGATGAATGGATTGATAAACTGTAGTAATATATTCACAGTGAAGTATTATTCACCCATAAAGAAGAAAAGTATGTCACTTGCAGTAGGGAAATGGAAGGATCTGGAAATCATTATAGTAAGCAAAGGAAGCCAGGGTGAGAGGGACAAAGATCATAGTTTGTCTATATGGATAGTGGACCTAAAATACAAATACGTAAGCATGGCAAAAGCCTTGTGTGAGCTATCATAGTAAAATCCTTTTGAACACATGCAACTTTCATGAAACAACTATTAGGAGACTGAAATATATCTGATGCTAGGGGGGAGGGAGGCGGGAGAAAAGAGGAGAAGATGGTCAGAATACTTCACGTACACCGGTGACGATGAAGCAGCGAAGCTTGCTGGGACTGATCTGGGAGGGAGAAGGGGAGGAGGAAGGATAGAGGAGTGGCTCTGATCAAGATGGGCATGTTAAATTAACCCCCAGGCACGAATGACTGGCACTAACAGAAACTCATAGACCAATCTTAAAAGTAAAAAAAATAAAAAATGTTTTGCCAACTTAACTCAGAATAAAAGTTACAGTGCTTAGAGCCAGGACTCCAAGCCCTGACTGATATAAACTCCCAGTGAATTAAAGCCGGGGCTTTATGTCGACAGCTCTGGCATTATTTGGGAGCTTGTTAGAAATGCAGGACCGCTGGCTGGCCCTGATTCAGACTTCCTAAATCGCAGCCTGCATTTCAATGAGACATTGAGGCAATCCATGCGCACCTAAGGAGGCACCCACGTGGGCCCTCTGCTGCCCTTTTGCTGGTCCTGGCTGTTCCACGAGGTGGGGACGTCCTACCACAGCCCCAGCTTCCTCTGCGTAGGAACACTTCCCCAGACAACAGCACGCCAGCTACACGGCTTCCATGGGGAGGTCATTAGTCTAGTCACTGTCTCATTTAATGCTTTCTGGGCCGCTCTAGAAGTGCACCCCCAACACTCCTGGTTCATCTTCAAACTCGTAGCAGCATGCATTTTACTTGGGTATTCTGTTTACAGTATCTGACTCCACCAATGGAATTGGCACTCTAAAAGGAGTAAGACTGTTGTTGTCTGTTTTGATCATTGCTTTAGATCGAATGCCTAGAACATCAGCACAGAGATACTTGGAAAATTTTGATTTAATGAACCAGATTTAGGAACTAGGCAGCCTTTGGAACAATTTTATGAGCAATGAGGTCAAATGGCAGATATTAATGAGGTAAGAAATGAACGTGAGGGAAGGAAACAGAATTACAGAGTAGAAGCTATTTTTTAAAGTACTCCAAAGAATATTAAAATAATTCATCTTCAGGATTAGCTAGCGCCTTAATGTATTTGTGATTATATTTCCTCTTTGGTGAGTAACTTCTTAATACCTGGAAAAGATAAAGAATTCAAGCAGAACCGAGATTTTCAAGGTAAGACATGAGCTAGTGCTGGTCTCTTCCTCCTTTCCTATTCCACCAAAAGGAGATGGGGAGGGGGTGGGGCAAGCAGAGGAAATGGGGGCCAGCTAACGTTCCCCATCATCTTGAATGAAGAACCATATTAAAAACCCTGCCCTTCGAAAAAAACATGATTTCAAACAGCTCTGTGAGTTGATGAGCAAATTCATTTGTGTTTTAGAGTGATCACTGTGGCAAGCTGTTGCTTAGTGCTGACTGCTAGGCCCGTATAGCTGCAGGCTCAGAGCGCTGCAGAGAGCGGAGAGCAGATTACAACTCTGAAAAGCACGATAAATGTGCCTTCTACTCATTTTTTGTGTTTTTGTTTTTGGTGCCAGTACTGGGGCTTGAAGTCAAGGCTGGCACTCTACCACTTGAGCCACACAGCTCCACTTCTTTTTTTTTTTTGTCTTTTCTTTTTTGGTACTGGGGGTCGAACCCAGGACGTTGCACTTGCTAGGCAAGCGCTTTGCCACTGAGCTACATCCCAGCCCAACTCCACTTCTTTTAGCTGGTTCACTGGAGAGTCTCACAGAGTGTCCTGCCCGGGCTGGCTTCAAACCTCGCTCTCAGCCTCTCAAGTAGCTGGGATTACAGGTGGGAGCCCCAAATGCAGAAAGAAGCTTTGTTTTGACTCCTGTGTAGAAGTCCAATGTCCCGGAGCAGCTGCTTACCCAGTCGTAGCCAGATCGTGACTTTCCTTGGAGCCATCTTCATCTGCAAATAAGGGTGGCAGAGCGGAGCTAGACATCAAGCCTTCCATCTCCCTGAAAGGAAGAGCATTAAAAAAAATAATAATTAATGGCTTAATTACTTCCAGTCCACGTTCCACTACTTTCAAAGCCAGCCTTCCTTAACATATCGCATCAGCAGCAGAACAGAAACTGACCTAAATATTTATTTTCCCGACTTGGGACACATCCATTTAAGCTCCATGGTAAATGGGCTTTTAACTCAGGCCTTAGCCAGTGACCACACTAAGAACATGTTGGATTTTAACAAATGGGACATGGTTTGGGAAATTCCTCTTAATTCATCATCAAAAGCCCTGTTCATTTCCTGTAGAAACTGTTAGTTAAGCGGGGAAGCCCCAGAGGCATTGCCACCCTGCCCCACTGCCTTCCAGCAAGGTATTTAACATCCTCAAGTTGCAATTTGCCCATCTGAACCTAGAGAGTTGCTAAGAGGGATTAAAGGAAAAGTAATTCATGAACAGAGAAAAACAAAGGCCAGGGCCAGCCAGGGCTCTGAGCATATTCTATAAAGGAGAGTATTGTCATTACAGCATTCATTACCCATTCCCCATCCCACAGGAGTCAGGCTTACATTAAATGATGACAAACTGAGCCCTCCAGGAGGAAATAACACACAGGAAGAGGAGGGTGGAAGGCACACTGATGTGGTTCTGAGTCAAAGAAACCACACTTCCAGGTCAGAAATATATGGGCAGCAGCAGCAGCAGAAATAGCATGCACCTGGCTACAGGAAAACAGCTCAGCTTCATTGGAGAAAACAAATAAATTACCACCACCCGAGCTTATCATACCGGAAGGATAAAAGGACAAGAGAGAGAGAGAGTTAATTTCGTTTAGCATATCACTACAAGAATTTGTTTTCTTCCCTTTTCAAGCCTTACCACCAAGGGCTTCACCCCATAGAGCTAAAAGCAGCAGCCTCCCATTCATCAGGAGAGCGACAGTCACCAAAACACTCCACAGTGACCCTAAACGCCAGCCACTTAAGTGGAACTGCAAATCACTCAAGACAAAGAGCCTCCATCAAGGGCATCTGGGAACTGAAGGCAGTCCCAGCACGGAGCCTTCTCAGTCTTCTCAGGTGCAGCCAAGAAGCCCCAGGGAGGTGGGGAAGGGAGGCAGAGGCCACAGAAGCGCCACAGCGAGCCACGGCTCACCCGGCTCAGGGGGAGGAAGCAGGAAGAAATCGCAGGAGACGCCCACGCTGCATTTTCTCTGTTCAGTGGTGTGATTCATTTCTCAAACATGAATCCCGATGTCTTATTTCTTGTTCTCGTGTTCACGTCTAAGTTTCAAACGCAGCAGATCAAGAACCCTCCACAGCTCGGCGAGGGCGGGCATCTCTGTGCAGCTCCCCAGCACTGAGTAGAGCCGGGAAGGCAGAGAGCAACTTCCCACTCAGCTCCAGAGTCCCGCATGCATTCCTTGTACACAGGACCATGTTCAGTGTTGACAAATGGAATGGGAGCTAGCCAATACCACAGAATGCCATTCTCCATGTTTTCTAGAATGATCCAGACTCAACTGTACCTGAATTTTAACTGACATGATACAAGACGCTGCCTTTCAGGGCTGTTAACATTACCCAACTTTAGTGCTAATATTCACTTTACCAAAAGCAAGTTTTAATGAGACACCAGACAGCCTGATCAAGGAGCAAACATTTTAAACTCACAGGCACCTACCCTAAACTGACCGAGGACCCTTGGACTAGTTTCTGGAGTCCCTGGAAGTTGCTTGGCCTCTCAAGAAGCTTAAGATGCAGATTGTGGCGTTCTTGGCATGGCTCCTAACACCTCAAAGGGAGATGTACTATCTGGTGGGGGACGAATGAGGTGTCATTTCATTCACGCTGTCAACAGGGACCTCTCAGAGCGACCCTCAGATATCTTTAGTCGTTTCTGAAATGTGGGAAGGCAGCTGGATAACACAGCCTTAACAACATATAAACAGACCGTGTAAACAGAGGAAGTTGGGAGAACACACATTTCTTCCTCCCCCACCCCTCACCCCTTCTGCGCCCTTAAGTTTGTTTTACTCAACCCATATGGCTCCCAGGGTTCGGAAGAGTACTCAGGCTCCTAAGAAATGACTAAGAAAGTGGGTGGAAGGTGAAAGGGCCAAGACCAACAAAAGAAGGAAATGAAGAAAAATCCCAGTGAAAGCCAGAGGCCTCTAAGCTATGCAGTAAGTTGGAAAATAAAACAATTCCTAAGAATGTGGCTCGGATCCTGCCAGACTGCTTTCATCCGGCTCGCAAGGGGGTGATCCAAACTCTGTCATGACTACTAAACATCCAGTGTCTAAGGCCCTTCCAGCCCGGCATCTGTGCCTGATCAAGTCTTGCTGCAGAGGTCACACTCAACTCTGAAATCCCATGCATTCAAGAAATGCAATGCATGCTACCCTGGAAGGGAGAGTAGTGTGTGGCATGTCTCTGGGGGCGGGTCACCTGCAAAACCAGCCTTCCACTCAGACATTTCTCTGCAGAGGGGACTCACCCAAGTCCAGCAGCCTAAGACTTCAAAAACCGTATTACTAGCTGGGTGCTGGTGGCTCACTCCTGAAATCCTAGCTAGTCATGAGGCTGAGATCTGAAGGTCACAGTTCAAAGCCCTTGGGCAGGAAAGATCGTGGGACAATCTCAAATTAGCTATCAAAAAAGCCAGATGTAGGGCTGGGAAGGTGGCTCAGTGGTAGAGTGCTTGCTTCACATGCATGAGGCCCTGAGTTTGATTCCTCAGCACCATATAAGCAGAAAAAGCCAGAAGTGGTGCTGTGGCTCAAGTGGTAGAGCGCTAGCCTTGAGCTGAAGAGCTGAGGGACAGCACCTCGGCCCAGAGTTCAGGCCCCAGGACTGCCAAAAAACAAAAAACAAAACAAAACAAAAAAAACAACAAAAAAGCCAGAAGTGCAACTGTGGCTCAAGTGGTAGAGTGTTAGCTTTGAGCAAAAAGCTCAGAGACAGGGTCTAGACCCTGAATTCAAGCCTCAGGACACAGACACACGGACACACACACACACACACAATTACTGTGGAGATTACACTTTGAACCAGAGTCTGGACCTTAGCTTTAGAGATTCCAAAATTCCCTGCTATGTTCTATTTCTTGCTGAAAAGAAAAAAAAAAAAAGAACCAAACAAACAACCTGATGTGTAATATAAAGAACCAATTTAAGATATCTTAATAACACATAGAATTGTAATGAGAATTATATTAAGGATATTTATTGTCCAAGGGACACATTCTCTCTGTAATAATACCAGGAGCAAGTCATAATCAGAATGTGGGTTTGGTCATTTAGGGCTAGAAAACAGGAAATTAGCTTCCGTTTAAAAAATGTTCCTCTACTAAGATCGTTCTTGCAGCCTTTGCTAACGATGGGATGGTCACCTGTGAGACCACACTTGTTTGGTGTTGGCTCCTCTCAAAGTGCTCATCCTTACTTTCCACGTGTCAATTCAGCATCCTCAGATCATCTCAAGGAAATGCTCCAATTCCTTCCCTACCATTCCCTTACCCCATCATAAATCTCGGCTGGTAGGTGGTGGCATTCTGCCCTTATTCTTCTTAGTGCAACCCTGTGTACAGAACCCCTGGTTCCCTTGAACACCAGATCACTTAGCTACATAAACCTCAAGTTCAAAAATCATTACTCTGAAGCACTGGTGGTTCATACCTGTAATCCTTGCCATTCAGAAGGCTGAGATCTGGAGGATCATGATTTAAGGCCAGCCTGGGCAGAAAAGTTTGAGAAGTAACTAGCACATAAACCTAGAGTGGGAGTTATGGCTCGGGTGTGGTAGTGCCGCTGAGCAACCACCAGGCCCCGAGTTCAAATCCTAGTACTGTGTCAACAGCAGCAGCAACAACACAAACCTTTTAGCCAAAGAAACTTTTATCCTGACCCTTGATTTTTTTCTTTTTCTGTCCACTTAAAATCTGTGGCTATTTCAAATAGTGTTTGATTAAACTTTTTTTTTTTATTTTGGTCAGGTGTGGGGCTTGAACTCAGGGCCTGGGATGCTGTCCCTGAGGAGTCTACCACTTGAGCCACAGCACCACTTCCAGTTTTTGAGTGGTTAATTGGAGATAGGAGTCTCATGGGGACTTTTCAGTCTGGACTGGCTTTGAACCACGATCCTCACATCTTAGCCCCTGAGTAGCTGGATCACAGGTGTGAGCCACAACATCCCGTGTCTAATGGATCTTTTTTTTCTGCAGAAGACACATTTTACTTTTGTCAAAACTCACAGAATGAAGCCACCATCAATTATGGTGATAACACGTCACAGTGGTTTGTGGATTGTATCAAATGAGAGCAATAAATTCTGGCACAGGATGCTGGCAGGGTGGGGATCAGAGTATATAAGAACTGTACTCTGGATGGGAAGGGTAAACAAAGGAGGAGGCTGCAATGCCTGATAAGAAATGTACTCATTATCTTGCCCATGTAATTATAACCCCTCTGTACAGTATTTTCACAATAAAAAAAAAAGAACTGTACTCTCCCTAAAACTGCTCTTGGAAATGTTTATCCATTAAAGAAAATACTGTATTAGATTATGGTTTAAAAATAATCATAACTGTATAATGTAACATGTAAAACTTATGAGCAGGCTGATCCGAGGAGGCACAGAACTGGAGGAAGTGGAAGTGCAAGGCTTGCAACGGTGGCGCCTACCAGCTGGAACATTTGGGAGGCTGTGGGCATTAATCAATACGTTTTACAGCAGGATGGAGAACACTGGCTAATCCCGGTAGGCAGTTAACGCGGGCTCAGTTAAGTGAAATCCAGTTAAGAACTCCTTTACTGTAGGATTTTACATGGGAGATGAGAGGAAAAATGATGGGAGATGAGAGGTAATCTGAGAGTAAGCACTTACATTTTTGGGGTGGGGAGGGGAGGAAGGACTGAAGTAGAGGGAGTCAATTAGTGGAGGAGGCTCTTAAGTGATGCTTCAGGAGATAGGCAGAGACAGGTGTGGCTGTGCATGCCAGTAATTCCAG